ATCTCAAATTACACATTAAATAAATAACCCTTAACCCCTTTTACTTTGCTAATAAATTTCTAATCAAACTTAATGATATCAAATCTACTCAAAATATGAATATATTGATCAAGGTCACCCTTATAACATTTCTAAAGGTTCCAATAACGCATAGTCATTATCTATATCAATAGAATTAGCTGGCTTAACTGTTAATCTATTAGACTCTTTACTAGATTAATGATCTAGATAATTATTCGATAGTTTTCCTCCCATTAAATGACTTTGCTGTAGAGTTTAATCTCCAAATTATTATTAAATGATAAATCATAACCTTGAAATCTCATACAATATGTTATTTAATCTGCATTTTTCTCTTGCTCTGTTAATAAAAGCTTTATATTTACATTTGAAATTTTGAAGTTTTCCATCCACATTTTCTTCTGAATTATTCTTGTTCTAATATTCAAATTGATTGAATAAGTTCAACTTGATCCTTTTCATTTCTGGATAATACATGGTTACTATCTCATGCAATAATTCGTTTTCCAATAACATCTTATTGTAATATATCGCAATATATCTTAACAAAAATATTATCTAAACAATTGATCCAACTTGAGCTAGAATTTATCCTAGCTTTGGCATTGTTATACTTTCATAAACAGAAATATTATCAATTCTAAATAAATAACAACCAAAACTCTTGAATTGATACTACTCTTTTGAAATTGAGCTAACCACATGAGAAGTGAAAAAATTATCGACAGGTTAATGAATTAACTCATAATTATTTAAGAATTTATAGTAATTATTATTAGTGAATAATATTCCATCATCGACTACAGTTTCTTATTATTTAAGCAAAACCTATGAATATAAAGGTTTAGATAATTCGAATGCTGTATAATACTACTTTTCTATATCTTCTAATTCTCCTACAGTATACTTAAGTTAATTTAATCTAATTGTTAAAAATAAAAACCCATGAAATTTTGTTAAATACTCATTTATTACATTTTCATCAGCACAATAACTTCCAGATACAGCAGTCAAATTAGAACAGCCTTCTAAAACAAGCAACAATTGGGTCATTTAAAAATGATCTCCAACTCCAACAAAATCATGATTTAACACAATAGTACCATTATCAATTGATATTTTAAATGGCTTATCTTCACTACTAAATATTGGGATTGGTTTATCAATTATTGTTGTATTCAAAATTCGATATAAATTAGGAGTAATGATATTATTTTCTTTTCTGAAAGGATCAACATCTCCTGAAAAATCTTATAATTCTAATTAAATTATAGAGTCTGACAACTAAAATTCAGCATATGAAATAGTTTGTTATTTAATACTAACAATAGCAGGTATTTGATGATCAATCCATTATATGATAACATATAAGAAATATGTTAAACTAATCCCTCCAATCAAAATAGTGATTAATCCACCAAAAAAGCTTTGATATAAGGATGCCTTAGCGGCGGTAAAGAACTACAGGAACCCCAAAAAA